GCTTTGCTGTAAAAATGCAGGGAACCACTCGTTATAAATCTCCTAACTGTGATATTTTCAGAAAGAGAAGTCACGTTTTTTCATCTGAAACGTGCTGCAATTTATGTTCCATAGCCACTCATATAATGCAGAAACACTCAAGCAAGCAAAACAAGCAAAACACACGCAACGTGTGCACGTATTTGTACTGGTGCAGAATAGTACAGCCTAGCGCATTTCACACAGGCTGCTCACTTTCACCAGAAAGTCGTGTATGCCTAAGGTTGAAAATAAATGATGTTTATAGTGAATGCCCCTATGAATGGTCTTATTTTTACGATTTAGTTTTAATCCAAATTATGCGTGTGCTAAGTGAGTGAACGTCAAAGATCACTTTGAATCACACAGAATTGCGCACGCGTTCTCTCTCTCTCTCTCTCTCTCTCGCTCTCTCTCGCTCTCTCTCTACCGTTAAGTAACTTGTGCATTGTTTTACTTACTTGTTTTTGACATATCCGACCGAACTACAAACTTTCCAGTGATGTCTGTGAGAAAGATATATTCACTCGACAAGCTCGCGCATCTGCACCGCCGCACGCACAATCCACTCGGCGCGCTTTATCTCGCGCACATCAGCTATACAGGCGTTAATATTGAATGTTTAACATTATATTCATTGCATACATATACTTCGTATACATCCTTAATCTCTAATAACTCCATTCTGCTGTCTGTTGTTCTGTTGTCGGTGTTTCTTTGTCTGAATATGGCACTTATCACATGCTGTGTGGTATCGGGGCATTTTAACGAGTACGAGTACAGGAGACCAGTATCGGGCCCGATACCGGTATCGGTGCATCCTTAATGTGTACTGTGCGTGCAGTATTTGAGTATATACTGCATATGTGTGACCTAAATGTTTTGTTTTGTGTCTCAGCTCCGAATGCTCCCACTATCCGCGAGGAGCTTTGCACGGCGTCTCACGACACCATCAGCGTTCACTGGACATCAGAGGATGAGTTCAGCGTGGTTTCTTACGAGCTGCAGTACACCATCTCCACCGGCCAGACGAACGTCATCAGTAAGAGAACGCGCCAAACTCGCTCCAGATGACCGTCTGTACAACACAAATAGACCACATGCATGCGTACTGACGAAATATTTGTGCGATATTTTCATCTAATATTATTTATTTCATTTTATTTCAACTTATTATATTTCTTTTTATTTTATTTTATTTCAATTAATTAATTCAATACATTTTTAGTGTCTTTGACCTCATTTAGGGTTTTATGAATAGATTTGTTTTTATTTCAGTTAGTTCTATAAATTTTAGAGCTGAAATAACTGAAAACATATTTCAGGTTGGTTATTTGCCATGGCAACATGATTTCAAAGTTTAGGTTTTTCATCAAATATTTGTATTGTATTTTTATATTTTTTATTTTATTTTATTTTATTTCAATTCATTAATTAAATTTATTTTTTATTTATTTTGATTTTTTCTTCATGTTTAGTGACTTTAACCTCGTAGTAACATCATTTAGGGTTTTATGGATAGATGAATAAATACAGTGGGTACGGAAAGTATTCAGACCCCCTTAAATTTTTCACTCTTCGTTATATTGCAGCCATTTGCTAAAATCATTTAAGTTAATTTTTTTTCCTCATTAATGTACACACAGCACCCCATATTGACAGAAAAACACAGAATTGTTGACATTTTTGCAGATTTATTAAAAAAGAAAAACTGAAATATCACATGGTCCTAAGTATTCAGACCCTTTGCTCAGTATTTAGTAGAAGCACCCTTTTGATCGAATACAGCCATGAGTCTTTTTGGGAAAGAGGCAACAAGTTTTTCACACCTGGATTTGAGGATCCTCTGCCATTCCTCCTTGCATGATTTCAAAGTTTAGGTTTTTCATCAAATATTTTATTTTTATATTTTTTATTTTATTTTATTTCAGCCTTATATCAACTTTATTTAAATCAATTAATTAAATTCATTTTTAATAGTTTTAGTAGTTTATTTTTTACGTTTAATGACTTTAAGTTTAAGTTTATTAAGTTTATTTCGAGCAATATATATATATATATATATATACATATCAATACACATACATGGAAAAATAGAACAGTTTATCTCGCATATATATGTATCCATACATATACAATTATGTTACACATATCTACACATAATACTTGCTCGAAAGGGAGTGGAAAGAAGTAGAACTTATTTGCTCCCACCCCCAATTCATTCCCATATATTACACCATATGGTTGCTGCCATTGTCTGTTACTAATAATTTATGTGATATTATAATAGTTGTATACAAATACCCAAATACAATATGTACGTCTCAATAGTCACAATAATACATTATAATAATCCTCATTATCATAAACATTCTAATATGTCCCAGTATTTATAATAATCATGTAATATATCAAATATAACCATATCCTATTATATTGTTAAATCACAGTTTTAAAATAACAATAATAATATTTATAATAAACATTAATATCTGCTCCCGTCATTATCATTATTATTATTTGCTCAGCTATGTAATCGTATCCCGGTCTGTTGTAATTATATCACCATTTATAGTATCAATATTAATAGTAAGAATAATTATGATCATCCCATACTACCGTTTTTTATACAATAACCATCACCCCATAATCACAATCCTTAGAACACCAAGATCCCTCCCTCAGCCTTATATTTTTTCAACACCATTTCTTTGTATCTTGATTTAAATAGGTAAATATTTGGGCAT